TCTATGATTCTATGCCTCCTGACTCAGGAAAAATGCTCCCAGGAAACTGTTCAAATACAACATTTGTAAAATTAGGTTTGGGAGATGTGACCACTTCCTTTGAAACAGATTATTTGAGCTCACAGGGAGGGCTATTTACTGGTGGGTGGGGATGGGGTGGGGTGGGGTGGAGTGAAGACTAGTCAGATTGACTTTGGAAGGTCATAGGATAACAAGAGCATAGATTTAGAGCTGGACTCTTAGAAATCATCTTAGTTCGAACCTTTCATTTTACAGATGAGAAGGAAGCAGAGATTCAGAGAGGTAAAATTACTGCCCAAGGTGAGATAAATAGTAAGGAGCAGAGCTGGGACTCCAATCCTGGGTCTCTGACCTGGGCAAATTCAGTGCTCTTCCACTCAGTAAGCTGAGGTTTCACAGTTGAGTGATCTCTCACTATATTAGTGCTTTTTCCTTTGCTATTCCCATCTCTGATACCACCTACTAGCAAAACTCTCTACCCCCATCTCTGAAGCTCAGGCTATCCATCACTTCCATCAATACACCCCTCCCCAACTCATTTCCAACCCCGCCAAATGGTCTCCACTTGTATTACCAATTTGCCTACTCCTTGTACTACCAATCCAAGAGCTTAAAGTTCTTCGGTGACTTCTCACCCTTCCCTTTCCCAACTTCTACCCCATTTCTTATCGAGGCACACCTGCTGTGCCTAATAATGGGTCTCTCCCCCTTAGAAAGAATAAGGGAATAGGTGTGGCCATTACACTACCTCCCCAGCTGCAAGATTGAGTGGGGGAGGGGAAGCCACAGACAAACGTCTGATTCATCACTCTTCATAGGGAAAAGGGGGAATTCCTCCTAGGAAAGACTGGAGCCAAGGAGTGGGATCACTGACTATCAGAGAGGTCAGATATTTTATATACCTGTGATCTTCTGCTTTGCTTAGGAGCATGGTATAAAGAACCATGACAGCAATGGAAAATCACCATCCATTTAGTAGGACTTCTCTTGTGTTGGAAGGGCCACTGAACTTTCTCTCCTGCTCCAGGCTTAAAATACAACTACCCAGAAAGGATGAGAATTACACATCTCAGCATCTGAAATGGAGTTCAAATCAAAGCCAGGCCCCTTTCTCTGGTAACACCCTACAGAATTTGAGCTCAGAAAAGTGTCCCAACTCCTCTTAATTTCAGCGCCTTCTCTCTGTTCATTACGTGCTGTTTAATCTGTATATAGCTTGTTGGTATATATTTGCTTATTGTCTTCCCCCACAGATTTTGTTATTGTTTGGCCCTTTCGGTCATGTCCTACTCTTCCTGACCCTCTCTGGGGTGTTCTTGGCAAAGATACTGGAGTGGTTTGCCATTTCCTTCTCCGGCTCATTTTACAGATGAGGAAACTGAGGCAGAGTTAAGTGTCTGAGGCCAGATTTGAACTCAGGAAGATGCCCCAACAACAACAAAAACATAAGCTAGGGGCAGCTAGGTGGTGGTTCAGTGGATAGAGTGGTGAGCCTGAAGTCAGGAGGACCTGAGTTCAAATCCGGCCTCAGACCAAACACTTGACGCTTACTAGTTGTGTGACACTTAACCCTAATTGCCTTTCAAAAAAAAAAGTAATCGGTATATAGCTTGTGATCGTGTATGCATATGTGTGTATATCTGTGTATAATTTGTTGTCTCCCTCTGTTAGATTGTGAGCTCACAGAAATTGCCTTTCCCTCTTTTTATATCTCCAGAAATTAGCACAGTGCCTAGCACAGGATAGATGCTTAATAAATGTTGATTGATTGATTGTTGGGGAAACCGAGAACCTGATTGTTCATCAAAATCATTCAGGATTGTGCATGGAAGTCATAAGACTTAAGGTTGGAAAGGACTTTATTTATTTATTTATTTATTAGTTCTGGCTAGGTAATGAGGTTAAGTGACTTGCCCAGGGTCACACAGCTGGTTAAGTGTTATGTGTCTGAGGTCACATTTGAACTCAGGTCCTCCTGAATCCAGGGCCCATCCTCTACCCACTGTACCACCTAGTTGCCCCTGGAAAGGACTTTAGCGATCATAACCCGCTGCCGTCTCACTTTACACATAAGGAAACTGAGGCCCAGAGTAATTAGAGGACTGAGATCTGATCCCAGTATTTCCTATTGCAAATACAGGGCTCTCTCTGCTGTACTACACAACCCTCAAATGACTAGAAAGAAGTCCAAGTTCCCTGCCTGTCAACCAGAGAGGCAGCTAAAGAATCAAAGGCATTAATGTTACCAAGAAATGTAAATTAGCTAAGTCTGAGCACCACTTGTATGGCTGAAGGGCAGGGAGGTCAGGAGAGCAGAGGGGGTGGAAAAGGAGCGAGAGGAGTAAAGGGCTTTGGACTATGCAGAGACTAAAGAAAGAGGCATGGTAAGAGGAGAGGACTAAGGGTGAATGGGTGGGCCTCAGGGGTGGAGATGTAAAGAATAAGCTAGTGGCTCTACCCAAACTTTTAGGGGATAAATTTAAGATTATCCCACCAGTGGTGGTTTCCAGCAGTTCTCTCTCCAGTTGCCGAGGCCCCTGACTGAGGACTCCTAGAGGAAAAGGAAGAATTGTCTGGGCCTGTAATAATGAGACAAAGGCTACAGAGCAGGGGGTCTGGAATAGGGGGAAAGCCGAGGAAGCTAAGGAAGACGGAACTGCATCCTGAGTTCTAGGAATATTCAAACAGAGAAACCATACAGCTCCACTATTAACCCTCCCATACCTGCACTAGCCCTGGCAGCATCCCATGGTCATCCCATGGTCATCCCACCGTCTGTAGCTTAGATACTACAGTGGGCTGGAAGAGGGTAATCTACCGCAGTGCCCCCTCCCCTCGCCAGTCCATTCCTCTACTTACTTCAGGCTGTCATCATTAAGTGCAGGGTCTTTGGTCTCCTGCTGTGTAAACAAACTGACTTGGATGAAATTCCTGAATATGGTAAATCAAATATTTACCCTGAAACTAGGACCCTGGGGAATGTAACATGCCAATGGGTGTAAGCAGCTGGGATTGGCTCCCAGTGTCATCTGTCAGTGACTGCTCAGGACAAGTTCAACAAGCGGGAGTTGAGGGGACCCTTTCATGGACTAAAGAGGGGGAAGGAAACAAGATGTGAGGTCACGTAGGGAAACTGGTGGGGGAGAGGGGAGGGGATAAGCACATAGTACTTTTTCTGATACTCTAAAGAATGACCCTTCAGCAGAGCTAAGCTCATCCTTGGGATCCTCAATTTCCCCCCATGTTGAATTCATCCCAGCAACAAGGGAGTGTAATATCACCACACAAAGTGGGACTGAGGGAAGGCTCCATGAGGCCACCAACTTTTCACACAAAGAGTGACAAGTATGCTGATGCAGCACATGTCACACTTCATCCCAAACATTTAAGGCCATGGGAAACCCTGGTGCCAAATACTAATGAAGCCGAGAAGCTAGCCAGGCAGGAACCACAACCCATCTGAGGACAGAGGCTTCTTTTGACTGGTTCTCTTTGATCCCAGATGGCTGGGTATCCCACTGGGAACAATTACGGTGGAATCACTCCCTCACAATTCCACGTCAGACTGACACCTTACCTAGCAAAGGACCGAGGCAAGAGAAGGACCAAAATCCTGGCTAAAAGAGAGCCCCCTCCCCTTCCTGTGGCTTGTCATTATTCCCACTGCTTATTATTTCTTGAGCAACAGTAATGTGTAAAGTACATGCAAAGACACAGCTCCCAGCCCCCAGGGCTCACAATCCCTGTTCTACTGGGCCTGGGTTACCAAAAGATGCACCCAATGCGGGGAATCAGCACACTATACTGACACTGACACTAAGGTGATAAAACTCAGCCTCTACCATTTCATCCCTCTCTATTTTTCAAGACGCTTCCTTGCCACCTCATTCTCCAGTCTTCTGACTCCCATAGTCTGCCCTGCCACCATTAAGTTGCCAGTTCTAAATAATCAGTCTTTCATTTCGGTTGTGGTCCATCCATCCCCACCTCTTCTAGATATTGTTGGGGAGAGGGGAGGAAAGAAAGAGGGACCAGAAAACAAGAGGAATCTCTTGGGGGTCACAGGACCCACAAGAGGAAAAGAATTTTCCCAAAAATTGGTGTCCGAGTTGGATGAAGGCACAGGACTTTCTTCCCCTACCCCATCTTTTCTTCCAATACAAGACAATGCACCTCAGGGCATTTGAAGGCATTGCCCCATTTGGAATGGGAATCCAAGCTTCAGCTGGAAGTTCCTTCCCGTTCTCTATCAACCCTCCTTTTCCAATTGATCCTATTTAAACTTTTCCCAGAACTATAGCGGGAACCCTGTTAGAATAAAATTCTTGCCTCTGGCACCGAACTAAACTAATCCCTTCAAGGATAAGGTTCCAGCAGCCCCTCGAAGGCTGGAGAAGAAACCTTAGGAGGCAGCCAGAGTCTAGGAGAGCGCAGGACCATTTCCCTAGGACTGCTTGGAGGCAAAAATCCACAGTTAGGAGGGCTCACCTCCTCTTCTGAATTTCAATGGCCAGAGACACTGAATGCAGAGGGAGCAGTCCCGGTGTAGACCTAGCGGGCTGGTAGGGGGCGGGGGTAGGAGGGACCTAAACCTCCTGCCTGCCCGCGCTTCCCGGTGTTCAAATTCAAAGTCCTTTACGTGCCACAGGGTGTTCTCTCCCTCTATTTCCGGGGTAGGGGCAAGAGGCCAGAAAATGTCTCCTGGCGAAAATGTTTTTATAATCCAAGCCGCGTGATCACTAATTCTCCCGGTAATGAGACAGAACACTGCCTTTCTCCCTTTTGTCGTTTCCCTGGGTGCTCAGGTGGTAGGGCCTGAGTTATTGGTGTGTGAGCAGGGTAGGGCTGTGTGTGGTGGTGGGGGTGGGGGGGTGAGCCTTCCTACTAAGCTGTCCAACCTAGGGAGCTGCAACTTCCCCTTTCAGAAAGGCAGAGAGGAGAGAGAGGGAAGAAAAGGCGAGGGAAGAGAAAGCACTCACCAGATGACCGGGCTCCCTGCGGGGTCCAGATGCAGCCTACTCCAGTAGCCTGCAAAGTGTGAAAGCAGCTTGGAGACTCCAGGCACTAGGGGCTGTTCCATGTGCCCGAATGATCTTGAGCACAGTTTGAAACACGCTTACGAAAGTAGCTGGACTGCGGCCGGCCCACTCCCCCCGCCCACTCCGACCATCCCCCTCCCCTTGGCAGGGACCGGACGAGGGGGAGGCGAGCAGCCAAATCTCTAAGAGAAAGATCCCTGGGGAGACCCCCTGCTCACAGCTTCCCAGGGCCTGGCAGGAAGTCAGTGCAGAGCCGAGCCAGGAGCAACAGCCTGGGAGGAGAGAGATGGGCGGATCAGGAATTTTTCCAGTGGGTGGAGACTGCTTTGCTGCTGGAATTCAGCTATTGGAGGCTACAGTGCTGCACAGCTGGGGCCGGGGGAAACTTCGCTGGGCTTGGGAGTGTAGCTGCAGGGGAAATTCTGTGTCTGGCTGTGGTTAAGGCAATGCTCGGGGCTCTCAGCTAATGATTAACACAGAGAGGAAAATCGAAGAAATACATGGCAGCAGGCACAGAAACTGCAGTGGTCCGGTCAGTTTCTGTACTCCCAGAACAACCTGGGATATCTCAGGAAAAGCTGCTAATCGGGACCTGAAGATACATAGGGTGTGCCACAGACCCTATTCCTGACATCTTAAGAGCAGCTATTACCGCTCATAAAACACTTCCTTCATGAAGTATCTGCCTCTCCTCCAAAGTGCCCCGTATTTATTTCCCTCACGTCTTGTATAATCTCTTCCCGTTATAAAATGTAAGCTCCTTGAGGGTAGGGACTATATTATATTTGTGTCTTTGGATATCTAGCATCCATCCTAGTGGCTGGCACACAATAAATATTTAACATACGCTTTCGGATGAATTTTTAGGACTTTCTGGGGAACTAGAAGTCGAAACATTACCCTCCTTTTTTTTTTATGATAAGAAAACTCAGGCCCAGAAAATCTAGACGATGTATCGGATCAGTTGGAGAACGAGTATCTTTGGCTCCCACTGGAGTGAGACACTGATTGTGAGTAAATATAGTGGGTACTGAATTCTCAACTTTATTTCCTGTGACTTTTTACAAGACTCAAATCCGAGGTAAGTGAGTAGAAAATAATGAGATAAATACACTTTTCAGAGAGCAAATTCAAAATCCAAGTGAGATTGGGAATTGGTTGACAGGAAGGTAAGTGGTTCTCCCAGTTTAATGAGATTGCTGAGGGGAGAGATGGAAGGAATCTTTAGCTGCACCTCGGTTGTATAGAGAAACGATTAAGCCCCAGAAAGGTATTGTAAATAGAGAACTACCATATTTCAAAGGGTAAAAACTTGAACAGTTATAAGTTTTCAGATGGTAGATTTAGAGCTAGAAGTGGCCTTAGAGGTAATCCAGTCTCACCCTTTAATTTTACTGGTAAGTAAACTGAAACCCCAAAAGTTTAAGAGACTTGTCCAAGGTCACTTCAATAGTGAAAGGAAAAGTCTGGATTTGAACCCAAAACCAATTTTTTTTTAACTCTAAAGCTAGGGTCACATGGAGATCCTGCTATGGGCAACTAGATGTTGAGCATCTCAAAGGGACAGAATTGATGAATTAAAATAATTTGAAGCAACAGTGCCTACTCCCCAGGAGTTTCCAATCCATCAACTGTAATCTTATTCATTCCTGTATCCATTTCGATGCTCAGATTTTTCCTTCAGATGGGAAACCCTCTCCCCTTGTCTCATCCAAACTCTGTAAATCTCTTAAAGCCTTGCTTCTCATACCCCACCATGAATCTGATCATCAATTGAACATCTCTCCCCTTCCTGATCATCTATAACACTAATTACCCTTAGCATACATTTCTAGAGTGGATTATATTCAATATAATACTTTATGATTTATTATCTAATATCTTTTTCTATTTGATTAATGTGTGGGAGTACTTTATCCTTAATAAGAATGTAACCTATTTGAAGAAAGGGGCCATACCATTGCACTCCCACTGTGCTAAAGCGTCATACTAGTCTGAGTAGGTACTCAGTGGTTATTGATTCTGTGCAATATTGGTTCAGCAGACAGATGTAGCTGAGGGGAGGAGTCCTTGGAACTTTATTTCTCATAATACCTGAGACCCAGGGAGAATGAGTCATTGAAAAAAAATTACCAGAGTTCTATTCCTCAGGAAGTTGTATATCTGAGAGTAGAATGGTTATGTCACATGCAAGGACTCTAATTGATAAGGAGTCTAATCAGAGGTAGGAGATTTTAAAAATGGAATGACCATTGCACAGGGGTCATCAGATGCAGGGAGAAAGCTAAATTATAGACAGAATGAGGAGGAGAGAGAACCCTGTGAAATGAAAACTACCATGGTATCTCTGCAAATGGACATCCCAGAGATCAGATGTCTGTCTTAAAATGCTTCAACAGATCACCAGTTGCCAGAGGCAGAGAGCAACAAAGGCACGTGGTAAACTGTCTGTTTTTCCCCCAATTGGCACATGAATTGAGGAGATGATATGTCCCTCACCCAATAGCCTAGAGGATTTGGGGAAATGAAGGGGTCCATCTTGTAGAGGATGTAAGTCATTTCATTTGGGTGGCTAAGAAGTTATTCCACTGCTTGATTTTTTTCCCCTTTGTTATTTCCCTTGCTATTCTATCTCAGATATTTTATATAAAGTTTCTGTCTGGTCAGTGTTTGTGCTGGAATGGGGGCTTCAGCTGTATTTGTATGATTACCCCGTACACCCCGAAGAAAACCAACTATCAAGGCATTCCGGAGTTAAGTGGGACTTCTATTACATATACAATGAAAGAGTACCTAGTACAGTGACTTAATACATTCTTGAACTGTATTTAAGAAAAATTACAGAAAACCTACATTAGACATAGCAGAAGCTTATGAAAATAAAAATGGGTCATGTGGAAACTTTAGGTAGCAACCCTCATAATAGCTTGGAGTTTTCTTTACCTTGCTACCAGTTTATGTCCAAATAGTTTCACCCTACTATTAAGTAATTTATTAGAGTAATAATACCTTTCACTTTAGTAATATCTTTAATCCAGGGATCTTAAAGTGCTTTAACAAACGCAGATTAATTAATCTTCACAACACCCTAGTGATGAGGCAGGTAGGTGGTAAATATTCTTCACCATTTTACTGGTGGGAAAATCAAGACATACGAGGTGACTCACTAAGAAATACATAAGAAATCAGTGGGTCAAGGTTCAAATACATAATAAACTGGTCTGACTACTTTCACACAGTAGGTATTTGTTTAATTAATGCAATCCTTGAGTGCCAATTGCTTACTCTCAAGTATTATCAAATCAATAAGCATACATCATTCATCTTTCCTAATGAAGGGATTTTCCTAATTGTCCATTTATTTTAACTGCCATGATAGACATCGGGAAAGTGAGACTGGTTTAAAAATAATAAGTAGGATGGTGCCCACCTTCTGACAAAGAGGTGATGGACTCAGGATATAGAATAGGACTTTTTTTTTGTAATGGCTAATGAGAGAATTTATTTTGTTTGATTATCCATATGAATTACAAGGGTTTTGTTTTTCTTTTTTTCTTTTCTAATTATATTAAGGAGGGGACCTAAAAGGGAGAAAAATAGATTTTTGTGTTAATTGAAGAAAAATAAAACTTGAAAAATAATAAGTGTTTTTTTTTTGGGGGGGGTAATATACTCCATAAATAAAAAGAACTTCAAAAGAACAGGACTGGTCCAAGATGGAGCTCCAGAGCAGTGAGCCATGGGACATCTGACTTCAAAAATGTCTTAGAAATGCCAACAAACACGTATTAGGGAGAGCTAAGAATCACAAGTTTCACCTTTGCAATGCAAATTACTGGTTAAGACTCTCAGAGCCACTTTTTCTAATACGTTGTGTTTTATGTTCAGTTTACCTGGAGTACTGATATAAGCAGAAGGGAAGGGGGATGGGCTATCCTCAGCCATAGTTGCCAGCCTTCTTGACCAAAAAGAAATGTTGATATCTGAAAAGGGAAGAAACTCTGTGGGGAAGGGGAAAGATGAGAAGGAAGTGACATCAACCCCCCCCCCCCAAACCTTACTAACTTGCCAGTTGGGCAGGGAGTGCTTGAGGCAACAAAGCTGCTTGTTTTAGTCTGCAGCAGAAACATTTGCCAATCTTTTGTGGTTTGTCAAGAACACAGAAGTTGAGTGTGAAGTATTTCTGAAGATCACTTATGCTCACATTTGTTATCAGTAGATAAAAGGGTGATATTTGGCATCTGTAAAGCAGAAGGGAATTCAGGAATGAATGACAACTTTGAGATATTAAGGAGCTGATTTCATGTCCTTGGACAAATCACTTCACCTTTGAGTCTCAATTTTCTCCTCTGTTAAACAGAGGCTTAGAATGGATTTTCTCTTAGCTCCCTTCCAAAACTAAATTCCAGAATCCTATGATTTATACCCAGACATGGATTGTCCTTTCCTCCTCCCCTTTCTAGCTGTGGCTTTCTGACTTTCAACTATTTTGTTCTTAGCACCTCTGCCAGAGAATGGGCAGGGGAACAGAAGGAAAATGTGACTTCAAAGCCCACTTTTTCTGCTTACTAGCAGTTGTGTAGAATATTGATGAGAAATGGTCAAGGGAAGAAAGGAGGGATAAAAATCACCAGCTGGGTCAGTTGAGGGAAAGAGTGGGAAAGGGAGAGTCATGACAGTGAAATAACAAAAACAAAAAATAAGAAAAGAAGGAAAAGTGTTAAGTGCATCAATGATACATTTTTTAATGTTTTTGCTATATCTTACATTTTCTTCTATTTTTCAGTCTTTTGACTTTGTTTTAATGAATTTGAATTTTCAAATGAAAGAATGGAAGACATTCATAAGAGGACACAGACAAGCAGAACAATGCTGGTACCACCACATTAAATTGTTATTCATATAAAACAATAAGCTAATGGAATAGATTCATGATTTCATTTGTAGCAACACTCTCTGGGTTAATTATATAATTTTCACTCACAGCATCAGGTTGGATCCCCCAAAGGACCCCATCTATCTCACCTTCAGAAGGGTAAGTAACTTTGTGGGTCTATGTTTTTAATACTGTAGCTCACAAGCCCCTACTAGTATGTTTCTCCTTAGCAGTCAGCCAATGCACACAATTAGCTCTGAGCAAAGACATTTTTTAAATTAAAATTTTTTCTAATCTGAAAAAATCTACCTTTTCTCTCTCTGCCACCTCCTTCTCTCCTCAATTAGAAAAACAGAACCCCTATATGAAATATACGTAGTCAAGTAAAATTAATTACACCACTGACCATGTCCAAAAAAACTCTATGTC